CCGAAGATAGTGGAGGGGATTTTTTATTAAAAACCCTAAATAATATAAAGATATTTTTTTTTTTGAAAAAGTGGCATTTTTGTAAAGATTTTAAAAGTGTGGCATTTTTGTAAAGTGGCACTTGAAAAGTGGTATTTTTTGAAATTTCTCTTTATTTAATCAATGAGAATATTTTTTTTAAGACAAAAAGAACCAAAGCATCAATATCGTAAATCATGAACTCTAGTTCGTTACTGAATCGTTAAGAAACCAACACAAATTGGTTTGCAATTTTGATTTATTCCCGAATCATCAAGAAACCAACACAAATTGGTTTTCTGTTTGTTTAACAACATGTTGTCATTAATGAATTATAGAGTTTGAATGCAACTACTCATGCTTTTAATTCGAAACAATAATAACAATCTTAATAATTTAAGCATATTTTTGAAGTTTCACTAATGATTTTTTTTAAAACATTTCATAATTATTTATGAATGCCCTTCTGAATTATTAATCCTTTTAAGAGATTGCTAATTGCGTTTACTCTACGTTTACTTACAATTCTACTTTATACTGCAAATCTTTAATCACTAATACTTGGTATATGTACATTATGCATTAGTAGAGGTGTCAATTGGGCCTGCCCGTGACCAATTGGACCAGCCCACACGGACAAATGGTTTTACGAGCTACATATGGGTTAGCTCATATGGTCAGCGGACGAAGATGGTCTTAGCCCACTCGAACATAATACAATACTATGCGGACATGGGCCGCCCAACTTGGCCCATATGATCAGTAACAAGTATAAGTATGCAGCATTAGTTACAAACATTTCATCATGTTCAAGTTCTAAATACATGAAAAGAAGAAAAATTCATCAGAAAAAACGCTAGAATATACAGAAGAGAATCAACAGTTTACTCTGAAAAAAATCAGAATACGTATTCTAAATTTTGCAGAATATAATCGAACAATATATTCGATTTCCTAAACTGCTAGATTTATATAAAAGATTTCAAAT